CTGCTCAGCCTATTTACCCAAATGATCAAGATCCCTTTGTAATCTTGGATAACCTCCTTCCCTGTTGAATATAATACCAATTTTGGTATCATCTGCAAACTTATCAAACATACCTTCTAAGTTCTCATCCAAACTATTTACATAAATGGCAAACAGAAATGGACCCATCACTGATCCCTGCGGAACATCATTGGTCACAGGCCTCTAGTCTGAAAACCAACCCTCTACCACCACATTCTGTCTCCTACCATCAAGCCAATTTTCATATCTAATTGGCAAGCACTCCTTTAATCCCATGAGATCTAACTTTAATAATTAGTCTACCATGCAGAAGCTTGTTAAAGGCTTTACTAAAGTCCATACAGGTAATGTCTACTGTGCTACCCTCATCATGCGTTTTGGTTACATCCTCAAAAAACTCAATAAGTTTTATAAGACGTAATTTCCCATTCATAAAGCTATGCTGACTATCCCTAATCAGACCTTGCCTCTCCAAATGCATATAAATCCCATCTCTCAGAATCCCCTCCCACAACTTACCCTTCACTGATGTCAGGCTCACAGGTCATTACACCATTTCTTAAATAAAAATACAACACTGGCCACCCTCCAGCAACTCACCCGTGGCTGCAGATCAGACAAATATCTCTGCTAGGGACCTGGCAATTTCTTCCTTAGCTTCCCAAAAGGTCCTGGGATACACTTGGCCATGTCCCTGAGATTTATCCACCTTTATATATTTTTTTAAGACCTCCAGCACTTTTCTTCTGTAATATGAACTGTTTTCAAGATATCAATATTTATTTCCCCAAGTCCCCTAACCTCCATTTCTTTCTCCATAGTAAAAACGGACATGAAATATGCATTTAGTATGCCTCCCATCTCCTGTGGTTCCACCCACAGGTCACCTCATTGATCTTTAAGGGGCCCTATTCTCTACCTAGTTGTTCTTATGCTGTTAATGTACTTGTAGAACCTCTTTGGATTATCCTTAATCTTATCTGTCAAGGCTATCTCATATCCCCTGTCAGCCCTCCTGGTTTCCCATTTAAGAATGTCCCTACTCCCCTTATACTCTTCAAGAGTTTCATTTAATACCAGTTGTCTGTACCTAATATATGATTCCTTATTCTTGACCAGAGTCTCAATATATTTATTCATCCATTGTTCCCTACTCTTACCAATCTTACCTTTCACTCTAACAGGAACATAACACCTCTGAACTCTTGTTATCTCATTTTTGAAAGCTTCCCACTTGCCAGTCTATCCTTTATCTGTGAACAGACTACTCCAACCAACCTTTGAAAGTTCCTATCTTATACTATCAAAATTGGCCTTCCTCTAATTTAGAACTTTAACTTTTATACAAGGCCTATCCTTTTCCATAACTATGGGGCCAGTGATCATAATTCTATTAGTTTTAAAATAGTTATAGAAAAGGATAGTCCTGATATAAAATTTGAAGTTCTAAATTGGAGTAAGGCCAATTTTGACAGTATGAGGCAAGAACTTTCAAAAGTTGAATCAGAGATAGTAGGAACTGCAGATGCTGGACAATCCGAGACAACAAGGTGCAGGGCTGGATGAACACAGCAGGCCAAGCAGCATCATAGGAGCAGAGAGGCTGACGTTTCGGGCAAAAGTTGATTGGGAGAGGCTATTTCCAGTTAAAGGGACAGTTGGAAATTGGGAAGCCTTCAAAAATGGGATAATGAGAGTCCAGAGGAAGTATGTTCCTGTTAGCATAAAGGACAAGGCTGATAGGTGTAGGCAATGCTGGATGACTAGAGAAATTGAGGCTCTGGTCAATAAAAAGAAAATGGCAGGTATAGAAAGCTGGGATTGAGTGAATCACTCGAGGAGCATAAGGTCGGTAGAAGTATACTCGAGAAGGAAACCATGAGGGCAAAAAGGGGTCGTGAGATAGTTTTGGCAAATAGGTTTAAGGAGAACCCAAAGAGATTCTACAAATACATTAAGGGCAAAAGAGTAACTAGGGAGAGAATAGGCCGATTAAAGATCACACGACTGTTTTTGTGTGGAACCGTAGGAGATGGGTGAGATGTTAAATGAATACTTCGCATCAGCATTTACAGTGAAAAAGGAATATGGAAGCTAGAGAACTTGGAGAAATAAATAGTGATATCTTGAAAAGTGTCTGTATTACAGAGGAGGACATGCTGGATGTCTTAAAATGCATAAAGGTGGATAAATTCCTGAGACCTGATCAGGTGGATCCTAGAATTTTGTGGGAAGTTAGGAAAGTAATTGCTGGGCCGTCTTGCTGAGATATTTGTATCATTGATAGCCACAGGTGAAGTGCCAGAAGACTGGAGAGTGGCTAATGTGGCACCATTATTTAAGAAAGATGGTAAGGATCCTGTGGAACAGAGACCGAGGGGTGCAGGTTCATAGTTCCTTGAAGGTGGAGGTGCAGGTAGACAGGGTAGTGAAGAAGGCATTTGGTACACTTGCCTTTATTGGTCAGTGCATTGAGTACAGGAGTTGGGATGTCATGTCGTGCTGTATAGGACATTGGTTAGGCCACTTTTGGAATACTGTGTTCAATTCTGGCCTCCCTGCTACAGAAAAAATGTTAAACTTGAAAGAGTGCAGAAAAGATTTACAAGGATGTTGCCAGTGTTGGAGGGTTTGAGCTATAGAGAGAGGCTGAATTGGCTGGATATTTTTTTTTCCTGTAGTGTCAGAGGCCGTGGAGTGACCTTATAGAGGCCTGTAAAATGAGGGGCATGGATAGGATGAACAGCCAAGGTCTTTTTCCCAGGGTAGGGGAGTCCAAAACTAGAGGGCACAAGTTTAAGGTGAGAGGGGAAAGATTTAAATGTGATCTAAGGGGCAGGATTTTCATGCAGAGAATGGTATGTATATGGAATGAGCTGCCAGAGGAAGTGGTGGAGGCTGGTACAATTGCAACATTTAAAAGGCATCTGCAGGGGTACATGAATAGGAATGGTTTAGAGGGATATGGGTCAAACGCTGGTAAATGGGGCTAGATTAATTTAGGATATCTGGTCAGCATATAGTTGGGCTGAAGGATCTGTTTCCAGGCTGTACAACGTTGTGACTCTAATAGAATTATGATCACTGGTCACAAAGTGATCCCCCACTAACATCTCAGTCACTTGCCCTGCCTTACTTCCCAAGAGAAGGTCAAGTTTTGCTCCTTCTTTTTTAGGTACATCTACATATTGATAAAGAAAATTTTCTCGAACACATTTAACAAATTCCTCACCATCCAAGCCCTTAACACCATGGTAGTCCCAGCCTATGTTTGCAAAATTAAAATCCCTTACTATTACAATGCTATTATTCTGACATATATATGAGATCTTTCTACATACTTCTTCGTCAATTTTCCTCTCACTATCTCATCAAGGTGATCATCCCCTTCTTATTTCTGACTTCTACCCATATAGCTTCACTGGATGATCCCTCAGAAATATCCTCTTGAAGTACAGTAGTAATGTTTTCCTTTATCAAAAATACCACTCCCCCTCCTCTCTTGCCTCACTTTTTATCCTTCCTAAATAATTTAAACCCTAGAACATTGAGCTGACAGTCCTATCCATCTCTCAGCCAAGTTTCTGTAATAGCTGTGATGTCCCAGTCCCGTGCTCCCATATATTCCCTGAGTTTATCTTCCTTACCTGTATGACCCCTTACGTTAAAATAAATTAAGTTTAATTCTTCAGAGTTACTGAATTGTTCTTGCCTGCGTTTTCTAACTAACTTGGTCTTTTTAAATTCTGAACCATCCTCATTTGCCTTTTCCCAGCCCTCTCCCTACGAATTTAAAGGCTCCCAAATAGCACTAACAAATTTTCCTGCCAGGATGTTGGTACCTTTCCAGCTCAGGTGAAATCTGTGCCTTTTGAAGAGGTCTTTTCTGCCTCAGAAGAGATCCCAGTGATCCTTGTCTACTGCACCATCTCCTCTGCCAATTTTTGATACCCGTTCTATCTTCTTATGCCTGCTCTAAGAGGGTCGAATATCGTTGGTCAGATATCAATATTTCTACCTGTACTCTTCTTCCTCTCTATTGTATATCCTTTTCCAGTCTCATCTGAATTTGCTTCCATCCTCTGGTTACCACCATGGACCATTTTCCTCTATTCCTTCCATCACTCCTTCCGCCATCCTGTTTCTCAATCTCTTTCTCCCACTTTCTTATCCTCTGTCCCTCATTTCGTCCCTTTACCCATTCTTTCTCAAATCTCCTCTACATGCCTCAATTCCATCCCTCCAGGTTTCCCCATTTCTACCATTTCTGGATATTTTCTTCTGATCCCAAAAACTTCTAATTCTTCTCCTCAAGCCTGTCGACCACTAATTCTCCTCCTTTGGTTCAGTATGGTGTTCCCTTCCCTATTTCTCCCTCTTTCTCTGCTTCGTCAATCCACTCTCTTGTCAGCTTACCTGTATCACTCCACTCTCACATTAACCTCCATCCTACTCATATCCCAATAATAGCAGTTCTGCCTCAGCCTTGAATCAATTGCTAGCCCTGCTTGATCTGAAAACTTCATTTTCCTAGCTCTCTAGGTCCAACCCCCAGAGAGATTGACAAATTATACATTATGCTATGACATAACATGCTGCTTTCCAAATTTTGCATACAAAATGTTTAAAAAAGACATTTTAGAACAATAAACAGTTGTCTTTAGCAATTTCTCTTATCACGAACTGATACTACCACATTCCATGGTGACGTTTCTGGATTCAAAATGTAGTGTAAGTGAATGCTTCCTATTGGATTCAATGTAAATAGTGCAGGAATGCACACTAGTATTCTGCTACTTTTAACCTTGTCTATTGTTTAACCTATGTCAATGGTCCTCCTGCTAGCAATATTATTTTGGTCACTTCTCTTCTGCATTCTATTGGCCCTCTACTATAGAGGTAAATGTTAAACTGAAGATGTTGTTAAACATGTTATAATTCAAACACAAATGAACAAATTTATCTTTACTCACACATACCTATGTGCTTTCCATACATGTTATAGTAGAAGCTGACACAGTAAGCACTGTTAATGGATCCATATGGATTTTTAGGCAGTGTGCTGAAAATAGGACTTAGGAGTCGAGCCCTTTCACCTTCTGTTCGAGGGCGAGAAGTCTCTATATACATGTAGAAACCTGTAGAGATAAAGAAACAGTAATTCAGCTAAATTTGTACAACAAACATTCAAGTGCTGCAATTCACTTCAAATGATGTTTACACAAAATCATATTTAGTGTCAATCAGAGCAATTTTTGAAATTAAACATAAAACATTAAATGGTACAGCAGAGAAATGGACCCTTCGGCTCACCATGTCTGTGCTAACCATGATGCCATTCTAAAGTAATCCCATCTGCCTGGATATGGTCCTTATCACTCCAGTCCCTGCCTACTCATGTGTCTGTCTAAATGCTTCTTAAACATTGATATCATGTCTGCTTTAACCACCTTTCCTGGCAGAACATTCCAGTCACCTACTGTGTCAGTCACTCTGTGTGAAAAACTTGCTTCACACATCTCCTTTAACTTTTCCCTTTTCACCTTAAACCTAAGCCCCACCCCAGTATTTAACATTTCCACCTTGGGAAAAAGACTCCAACTAACCACACTATCTATACCTCTCACAATTTTATATACTTCTTAAAGGTCACCCCCTCAATGTCCGATGCTGTAGCGAAAACAATCCAAGTTTGTCCAACCTCTCCTTATAGTTAATACACTCCAAAGCAGGCAACATTCTGGTAAAAAGGTGTAGAGCTGGATGAACACAGCAGGCCAAGCAGC